CCCCAAAAAAGTTGAGCTATGAACGGCTTGGAGGACCAGCCAACTCAACCTTGACCGGTTCGGCCCTCATGCTAGGCGATGATGCGGAAGATGAAAGCAAGGAGTGCGCTTTTGCTTTCTTCTCTCCGGTGGAGATGTCGGGGGAGCCTACAAATCCCAAGGAGGCTTGGGAGGGCCCCAATGGGAAGGAGTGGAAGAAGGCCTCAGATGAAGAAATGGGGAGCATCATAGAGAACGACACATTTGACTTGGTGAACCTACCTCCGGGGCGGAAGGCGATCTCTTCCAAGTGGCTCTTCAAGCGCAAGACCGACGCCGACGGCAACATCGAGCGCTACAAGAGCAGACTTGTAGCCAAGGGGTATCAGCAGCAAGAGAAGAAAAACTACAATGAAGTGTATGCCCCTGTGGTGAAGGGTACAACCCTTCGAACCCTCTTCGCTGCTGCGGCCATCAAAGGATGGGTGGTGAAGCAAATGGATATTGTAACGGCCTTCCTCAACGGCGTTTTGGAGGAAGAGACCTTCATGAAGCAGCCAGAGGGGTACAATGATGGGAGTGGCAGAGTGTGGAAGCTGAAGAAAGCACTCTATGGCCTCAAGCAAGCCCCTAGGCAATGGTACATCAAGCTGCGGGAAGTCTTGGAGGCGATCGGCTTCACTCCCTCAACGGCCAATCAATCGTTGTCCATGCTTGGCGAGGGGGAGCAGAGGAGCTTCATGGTGGTTTATGTGGATGACATCCTCATATTCTCACCCTCCTCTGACCTTGTAAAGGATGTGATGCTGAAGCTTCAAGACAAGTTCAAGTGCAAGACCCTTGGTGACGTCAACTTGAGCATTGAGCGAGGTGTGGAAAAGCGGTGGATGCGAGTGCATCAAAAGAAGTACTTGGAGGCCTTGGCTGCAAACTTTGGGAAGAGTGAAGATCATGTGGCTACTCCTCTTCCCTCAGGGTTCAAGTGTGTGAAAGGACCAGCGGAGGAAAGTGTTGATGAAGAGGAGAGGCGCCGTTTTCACTCCTTGGTGGGCAGCCTCATGTATGCGGCCGTTCACACAAGGCCGGATGCAGCCTTTGCTACCGGGCAGCTGGCTAGGGTTGTCCAATGCCCTAATGAAGAGCAGGTAGCTGCTGGAGAGAGGGTGGCCAAGTACCTTGGCCAAACAGCAACTGTTGGACTGCAATACTCCGCGGCGGCACAAAGGCGTCAAAAGGGTGCGGATGGAGTCGAACCCGAGAGGCTCTTTCTCACCGCCTTCTCTGATGCATCTTGGGCATCAGAACCAGAGGACATGACAAGTGTGGGAGGCTTCATCTGCTGTGTTGGTGGAGGACTAACAGCTTGGGAGAGCAAGAAACAAGTGGACCAAGCATTGAGCTCGGTGGAGTCCGAGTACATGGCACTCTTCCGTGCCATAAGAGAGGTTGTGTGGCAGCGGCGTTTGCTAGCTGAATTGGGGGAGGAGCAGCAAGGACCTACCCCACTCTACTGTGATAGCCAGGGTGCTATTGCATTGGCAAAGAACCCCGTTCTTCATGGCCTTACCAAGCACATGAAGGTGAAGTGGCATTGCGTGAGGAGCATGGTAACCGCGGGTGAAGTGGAGTTGCACTACGTGAAGACGACGGCGCAGCCAGCTGATATGATGACCAAGAGGCTGGTTGAGCAGCAGCATTGGAAGTGTTGCAAGCTTGCTGGGATGGCTCTGAACTAAGCGGAGCTGATTCTAAGGCCAACAATCTGAGGGGGAGTTTGTTGGTGCAACCCTATGGCTTGCACTCGGCTTGTCGTCCTTGTTTGTGTGTGTGCATGCATGGCATGGAATGAGTTGTGAGTCTATGTCATTGCTATCTAGTGCTTGTGTGTGTGTTTTAATGGTGTATCACAATGTGGTTTGTGTCGGTCAAGACATTAGTGAGTTTTTACAACTCGCATGTCAAGTCGTCATTTGTGTGTCGCATGTGTTTTTTCTATTTTGTCGAGTGTGAAGTGTCCATCGCGTCGCAGGTGTGTGCAGCAAGCCCCCATCAACTCAAGAAGAATTTATCTTGCATTTCCAAGACCAAGAGCTCAAGATTTCAAGCCCAAGGGACGCGGATAAATATCAAATAGTGAAAATTGTAACGCTACTTCGTGTAGTGTTATATTTCACTTGGTGTAGCCCCTTGGAGGGTTGGTTTCGAGAATCTTCGTGGTTGGGGACTCTGTGGTGGTGTACCACCAACCTGGACCTCGGCCCTTGGGGTATGTAGAGGGTGGGAATCATCTCCTTCTCGAATTCTTCGTCCTAAGTTTTTTGTACTCCTAAGACTATAGTGGCTGCTGTACCTCCTGCCAGTCAAACCGCCATAGCATCGTCAAATCTTCATGGAATTTCATGATTCAACTTGCTGCTGATAGACGACAGCAACGGACTCCAGATCCAATTTACAGATAACCGTTTAAGTCAGCGAGCAGATCGTTATCAATATTTGAAGCCGTCTGACGGAAATCCGACTGTGCTCTCTATCTCTCATTATAGGCACATCTGAGCCTATTGTGACTATAACAGTTGCGACTGACCGTTACGACTGTAAGGGTGGTAACCGAATCGACCATCGAGTCGCTGTGCGACTCGATAACTATTCCTTCAACTGTATTCTACAACTGCTTTACTTTTCCTATTTTCTATATATTCTTGTATGCTTGTTCCTTTTAATCAATCACTTGCTCTCACATACTAGTGCAAGGGTTCAACTACTCAAACTTCCGCTGCACTACTCAAGTATTTTGTACAATTGGGACTTAGTCTCTGAAAGTTCCAAAGGGCTTTTTCTCAGCCCAACATGGTATGAGAGCTGGTCAGAGACCAAACTCCCAGCAACTACGCTCCATCTACAATCAGCACACCAACGACTTCATTGATTACAAGTCATGGACAGTAAAGGCAAGAAACCCTCTACGGGCTCACCCAGTGCCCAAGACATTCAACCCGGTAACTCTGGACTGCACACTTCAGGACTGCTAACCGAGACCGGCGCTGCTCAAGAAACAACAGGAAGAGCACCTGAAATGGTGACCCCATCACCCTCTTCAAGCGTGGACCCGAACCTTATGGAAAGGTTCTTCAGCTTCATGTCACACTTCGACCAGCAGCAGCAGACAAGGACACCTGCACATTCAACACAGAGCAACGGAGGAAACATGGGATTAGCGCCGATGAGCCTCGACAACTCATCGTTTGGGCGACACAATCAAGCGCCTACCTTTGCGCCTTATCACTCTTCACCGGGGACGTTCGAGTTCATGCCGCCCCATGCCCAACCAACAGCAGCTGCATCACAACAGACACCAAACGAGATATTGAGTCTCCAGACGCAGTTTTCACACGTCATCAAACTGCAGACATCCTCACCGTTCAACGGACACGACTTCTTTACCTGGAGTTTTGAGTTCGAGCTGCTGATGGAGGCCGCGCACCTCTTGGGATACTTCAACGGGTCCCTGCCATTTCCAAGCAATGGCACTACAAAAGAGCAAGAAATTTTCACGTATCATTCGTTGCTGGCGTACACGGTTCTCCTGCGGAACCTGTCACCACAAGAACAGCAAAGCATCATAACGTATCGGAGCTATGGAAACTCCGTGGAACTCGCATGGCATCACCTCAAGTGTCTCTATCAAGCAAACGACAGCGTGACACAAAGCAGACGCATGCAGCAGTTGACAACAATACAGATGAAGACCGGGGAAAAGGCGATGCAGTATATGAGTCGATGCCAGACACTCCGCGACCGCCTGCTTCGGTGCGGAGGTACAATGACTGAAGAAAGCTTCGTTACACTTGTCCTCGCTGGGCTCGGGCCAGAATGGAGAACCACCCGCTCGCTTCTTCGCGCCCACGGACGAATCTCGGAGATGCACCTCTACGTCGAGCTTCATGCTGAACAACAGGAGATGGACCTGTTTGAAGAAAGACAACCAAGGAAACAGCAACCGTTAGGTTTCTACACTCAACGAAGAAACGACAACAACTACAACCGACGCGGCAAGCAAGATCAATGCGACAACAGAGGAGTCACCATTGTGCCGCCGTTCTGCCACAACTGTCAAACATTCGGACACTCCAAAGTCAACTGCACACGCCCCCGAGCTTATCGTCCAGTAGACCCACAAGTCGCTTCCACTCAAGAAAGCCCGCCGAGGCGTTCCTCCGCATCTGCACAAGTCACATCAAACATCATCAATTGCATGGTACACATCGACAACTGCGCACCCGGATCACCACCCGGAGCTGTGCGACTCGATAACTGTTCCTTCAACTGTATTCTACAACTGCTTTACTTTTCCTATTTTCTATATATTGCTGTATGCTTCTTCCTTTTAATCAATCTCTTGCTCTTACATACTAGTGCAAGGGTTCAACTACTCAAACTTCCGCTGCACTACTCAAGTATCTTGTACAATTGGGACTTAGTCTCTGAAAGATCCAAAGGGCTTTTTCTCAGCCCAACATAAGGAAACTCCCTTTTCCTTACTGGGCTCGATTACAGCGCGTACGCCCTCGACTCTCGGAAGTCCAGGCTCGGCCAACTTCTTCGGTCCCTAACCATTTCGCGAACCCAAACCTAGGCGCACAGCGCTTCCGTGGCTTTCGCCAACGGGACCGCCCCAACCTGTTCGCGTGGTTCTCGGCTAGCTCTTCGTGCCTATAAATGCCTAGGCCCTCATTTGTATCGACACTCTTGAATCACACCCCTCTTGACTCCTATATTACACTACCTGCTATTACTCTGATTAATTCATAACACCCCCATCTTGACTGCCTGTATTTTGACCCTTCACGAGCAAACTCCCGACAGAGGCATTCAAACGCGCTGTTCGTCCATCTTGGTCCAACTTGTAACGTGTCCTAAAGTTCACTGCGGTGGAATCTCGAAAACGAGAGAATGTAGCCAGGGAGGTTTGGATGATCAAAATGTTAGCAGGACGATTGCACCCGGAGTCCATTTATGGAGGAGGTGCAACCCTGAAACTCGACCCGCAAATGACCTGCATGGCGAACCACTGGCACTCGGCTGGATTGAAACTGAACCCGCAGATCACAGGCCTAGCTCATCACCGCCTCCGATCTAAAGCCTCCTATCCGCTAGCCGATCACCTGCGGTCCTTATCGCGAGGTGCGTCAACACCCCCCTCCATTCGCGCGTCTCAGAACCCTCCAGAAGCTGCAGCGGCACCTCCAGCGATCGGCGCGCAGCGAGAAGGACCGAGCGGCGTTGTGACGATCGCGCCGGTCCCGGACTGGCACAAGGCATTTGGCGCGCGGAGTGTAGCATTTGCGGATGTTCACGAAGGGCTAACCCTGCGGATGCGAGGCACTGGTTAACCTCCGTTCAGCGCAGTGGTCCAACGGAACGAGGCGGAGCTCCCCCACTTTTGAGTCCGCGCAGAATCAATCGCGCGCTGCTCCTCCGCGCGGCATGGCGAGTGGCGGTCGTCCCGAGGGGTACAGCGAAGGGCGCGAGTGGAAGGCGCGCGTTCTGTCGACTACTGCCACGGGAGGTATGTTCTTATGACGGGACGCATGTGGGTGCAAGGGGGGGTAGAATTAGTGAAAGTTTAGCGAAGTTGTTGAAAGGGAAGGTGAGTTGTTGCAACCGCAAGTGTTTTGAAGCGGGAGGGTTTGGGGTGGAAATGTGCTGTGCGAGGGGGGTTATCAAGCCCATGGACCACCTACCGTGTCGCTCTCGCCTCTCTTTTCCCTCCCCTTTCCCTCTATCCCTCTCCCGCTCTCTCCTCTCCCCCTCCCCACCCCCCTGTCAGCCGTGCTGGGAGTGGCAGGCGGGGGGGCGGCAGCAGCGTTGGGAGCAGCGCCGCCAGCCGTGGCAGTGGCTGCCGTCACCAGCAACTGCTGCATCGCTGCGCTCTGTGTGGCAGGTAGAGTTATTGGTGGTAGGGAGTACGTGGGGCGGGCAGTCTGGGGGGCAGGTGGTGTGTGGGGCAGGGCAGGTAGTGTGTGGGGCAGGGCAGGTAGTGTGCGGGGCAGGTACTGGGTTCAGGGTTGCTTGATGTGGCAAGGCAATCCATTCTGCGAAACCTCCCTGCGCCTCGCTTCACGCCTCCCAATCCATGTCTTTTCACAATCCCCTGCGCCACTCTCACTCGGTCACTCTCACCATTCCCCACTCTCCCTCCTCCCACCTACCCATCTGTCTCCCCACCCTGGATCTTGCTCTGTCCTTCCCCCTTTGGGTCCGGAAGAGGCACAGAGGGAGGTGCGCCCATTCCCTTCCTCTATCCCCGCCACCCCCTCTGACCCCCTCCATCTATCCCCCGCCAACCCCTCTGACCCCCTCCATCTATCCCCCCCCAACCCCTCTGACCCCCTCCATCTATCCCCCGCCACCCCCTCTGACCCCCTCCATCTATCCCCCGCCACCCCCTCTGACCCCCTCCATCTATCCCCTGCCACCCCCTCTGACCCCCTCCATCTATCCCCCGTCACCCCCTCCTCCTCTGCCCTGTACCCGCACCTCAGGCCTGGAGGAGGCAGTGCGGGAGGTGCGCGTCTCCCTCGCCTCTGACCCCACCAACGGGCTTCTGGGGGGGGCTCTGGCGGGCGCCCTGTTTGGCCGGCTGAGAGGTGAGAGGGAGAGTGGAGAGGGAGGGAGGCGAGAGGGAGGGTGGGGAGAGGGGGAGGTGTGAGGGAGGGTGGGGAGGGGGGGAGGTGTGAGGGAGGGTGGGGAGGGGGGAGGTGTGAGGGAGGGTGGGGAGGGGGGGAGGTGTGAGGGAGGGTGGGGAGGGGGGAGGTGTGAGGGAGGGTGGGGAGGGGGGAGGTGTGAGGGAGGGTGGGGAGGGGGGGAGGTGTGAGGGAGGGTGGGGAGGGGGGGAGGTGTGATGGAGGGTGGGGAGGGGGGGAGGTGTGAGGGATGGTGGGGAGGGGGGAGGTGAGAGTGAGAGGTAGGGTAGGGTGGGGAGGGAGGGAGGTGAGGAGAGGATGGGGGGGAGGGAGTAGCGGGAGGGGGTAAGGCAGGTCGGGACATGGAGTGCAGGCGGAGGGGCACAGCCAAGAATATTCTCTTTCTTTTCAGCAGGCGCAGGGGCACAGCCAAGAATATTCTCTTTCTTTTCAGCAGGCGGAGGGGCAGAGGAGATATCTCCATCTTTTTCCTTGCACCTTCCTCTCCCCTGTTGCGTTTTCTCTTGCCCTCTCTGTCGTTCAGGCAGCAGGGACATTGCCATCCGGGCAGCTGTAATGTTCGGCCTGGCTGGGGCAGGTCACCGGGCAGCGGTGGAATCTTTCAAAGAGTGGCGCATTCAGCAGCTCATGGCTGCCCGCATGGCAGAACACACAGCTGGCCCAGATGCCCCCCATGCAGACGTGGTAACAGACAGAGGTATGGGAGAAGCCGAGGAGCGGAGAGCCATGGGCACGGGTAGCGGTGCTGCGCGGTCCTCTGAGGCTGCTGCAGCATGCACCGCAGCCTCCCTCCCATCCGGAGCAGCTATTGGCGCGCAGCCAGAGGTAGACGAGGCACTGGCGGGGAGGGCGGTCGGTGCAGGGCAGAGGGGGGGTGGGAGAGAGCAAAAGGAGGCAGCAGGGGGGGTTGTTGGGCAACGGGAGGAGCATGCAAAGGGGGGGGGGCAGTGGGAGTGGCCGGAATGGCTGCCAGTGCGGAGGCTGAGTGAGGAGGAGGTAAGGAAGCGACAGGAGGATTTCAGACGGCGCGTGGCAGCAGCTCAGAGGCTGCAGGCGGTGGATGGGGGGGAGTCAGGCATGGGAGGCGCAGGGGAGAGGGGGAAGGGCGAGTGATGGATGGAACGGGGGGATAAGCTCACCTTGACCTTGGGATTCAACCTGCGCATCCACACGCCACGCCACTGCTTGACCCGTGAATGACTGCACCTGGTAGATTGGGGATCTCATCTGACAACAGGCGATGGAGGGGAGTTCTGTGTGTGTGGCATCGCACGGACACAGCCCATGCAGAGACGGCAAGGTGTGGAGAGAGTGTTAGAAAGAGAATATCACTAGAATGGGAAGATACAGAGCAATATAGACTAGTGTGTTGTACCCTCTAAGGCACAAACCTGTATAGTATAGTAACAATATAAGTTATGTTTGACACACCCCCTAGACTGTTTAGGGGCAGTGCCTAACAAGGGAAGAAGCAGCTCAGGGCGGTACTACTAGTCCAGCCTCTGAGACAATGGTCTAAAGACCAGTCAAAAGGAGTACGGACAAGGCAAGAGCAAGACCAGTGCGGCATTACTAGTCCAGCCTCTGGGAGAGGCCACAAGGCCAGTCAAGGTAAAATATATATAAAGGACAGTACAAATTTGTTGGAAATACCTCGAAGACTTGAGCGTTTCTGAAGTGTAACACTACACTCGAAGGAATGTCGTATCGAGTACGCGAGTCAACGGAGGTTACACGAGGAGGTTGGACGAAAGAACACGAAAGGACGAAGGGACTCGAAGGGTTGCAACTGGAGGTTGCGACCGACCGTTGCGACTGCAAGGATGGTAACAGAACATGAGAAAAATTTTGTAATGAAAAAATTACAGATTGTGATTCGGCTAGAAGAGGAGTTTGCTGTAAAGGAGACAAACTCCTTCATCTATCGGCAGGTCTTTCAGACCTGCCACCTAGTCTCATTTGCATTTTTCTGTTCCAACTTGCATACCACCAGCACACTTTAAACCCCTCTTATGCCCAGATCTGGGCATAGGAGTTTCTTGCTGCAAGACGTTTTTTCGGTTAGATTTTCTACAATGGTCAGCGGACTTATTTCCGCTGCAAGTGGTAGGCCTCCCGCTCCTCGCGTGAATACTAGGAGTGGTGGAAGGCGTGGGTCCCCTATACGTGAGGGGGACCGAAACTCTTCCTCTCAGCATAGAGAATGCTCTCGTTCTCCTCGTCCTGGCGGAGGTAACGGCGCCGTTACCGCTTTGGATTTGCTGAGTGGCGCGCGTCAAGACCCTGTTCAGCACGTCGAAAACGTGGCGGGGGACGCGGATCGTAACACGTCACGCAATCACGACTTCCCCCCCCGGATTTCAAGGCGAGCGGCGTAACGAGCAGAACCGTGTCGACACGAACCCGCCTGCCGAAAATGCCCCGTCACGCCCCCCACCTACCGAACGCAATCATGACGGTCCTGCGCGCGAGGACCACAATCATGATCGTGATCCTGCGTGCGCAGGGCGTCATCATGAGCGCGATCTCAACGCCCCAGCGCCCCAGATTCGCCAGGATCGCCAGAATCGGGACCGGGATCACGCAGATCGCCGGACGGATTTTCCCCCTGCTGCAGCGAATCCGCGCGAAAATCCGCAGATCTCGACCCCTGGAGCAGCAGATATCGCCGAAATGATTGCGCGCCTGGATCCTGCAGCCCAGCGCAATCTTCAGCGAATCTTCACAGGAGCTGCTGCTGGCGAACGCGTTACAGCACGCTCCACTGCATCCACAGCGCCTCATTCTGCATAAAATAATTCTGCTCGCTACACCGACAATAATGTTTACGGCGCACCAACAATGAGGCCATTCACCACGTTCTTGGTCTTCTTGCGGCGCTCCAGCGTGGCAATGGCGCCGATCCAGCACTGCCTCCGGAACCAGCACGCGTCGCAGTGGCGGCAGCCCCACGCTCTCGCCTCCCGGCGCCCGCCCCCGAGCCCGTGGACGACGAAATGGACGAGGAAGCACCCCATGCCACGCTCGACGAAGGTAATGCTGCCCGCCCAAAATCCGCTTCTGCAGCGCTCGCCCTTGCTCCTATTCCACCTGCACGTCCTCAGTTGCGCTCTTCCTTAGTTAAAAGCAATGGCATTCGTACGCAACTTTTTAGTTTTGAGCGCATTCAAGCTATTGCACGTCATGCTATTTCGGTTTTACCACCTGATGGTGGTGAACAAGCCGCCGACTATCTCCAGCAGATAGTAGAGGAGGCGGAAGAAAAGATTCATTTTTTGTTTACCGCCGATCAACGCGGTTTTGAAGTGGCCAATATGGCCCTTAAGATTAAATACGGGGAAGTGGTAGAGGATAAGAATGTCAAGGCTGCTTCTCAGATTGTAGCGGCTAGCAAGAAGAGGCCCACTCGGCCCACCCATTCCACATCCCGTCCTGAACCCCCTCTTCGCCCTCGAGGCCAAGGGGAGCGCCTTTGGAACACATGGCGTAGGGACGGCGACGGCCGTTGTTTCTATTGTCGTGAACCCGGGCATGGGATGGCTAATTGCCCCCAAAGAGGCCAAGGGGCCAATCGGCCGGCTAAGATTGTGTAAAGATTGCTTAACCTCTCCGATGTTGTAGCGTTCTTAATATATTAAAAAAGAAAAGAAAAGAAAAAAAAGACAACAACAACAACAACATACACACATATTATTGCACTCAAGTAAGATTAATACGCGCGTCATACGACCACATGGTCTCGCCCGTTGGGCCTGTGCAAGAAGACATGAACGTGCCCACAAGACGCTTACACAATGTGTGTGTGTCCTCTAAAGACTGCCGTTGATAAGACTCATGACAAGATTTCTATGTCATCACCATATATGACCACCAACTACAGCCCAGTATGCCAAGTTGACATGCCCAATCCAATGGTTTATTACTTAAGGGATGACGTGGCCGAAGAAAATAGCAAGCGAGTGGGCACCTATAATTAGCGTTTGCCTTCCTTCCCGACAAAAAAACAAAAAAACACTCCCTTGTTGAGGTCGGAACTAAATGAGGTGAAGCACCTTCCTGACTCTCTACCGTCCCTATTTGTGTTCCCTCTCCCACCAGAGCTCGGAACCATTTCGGCCTATGCCGATGACGCAACCAAGATTACCCGCATGCAAGGCCGCCTCCGTGACCGCGCTGCATGGTGGTCCGCCTGGTGCGACAGCCGCTTGATTCTATCGATGATTACATATGGATATCGCCTACCATGGGTTGCCTCTGAGCCCCCCCCGTCTCGTACTAAGAATCATGCCGGTGCCTTGCAATTCACATCTTTCGCTGTAGGTGCAGTGGCCGAGCTTCTCGCCACCGGCGCGCGCGCCTTAGTGCCACTCGAACGGAGGCACTTCACAACCGCTCCATAATCATCGCCGACCTTGCAGCCGCGGGCTTCGTAGTGAATTTCAAAAAATCACAACTCGCGCCGGCACAATCTTTGAAGTTCTTGGGCCTCTTGCTGGACACGCGCACCACCACATTCTCTGTCGATGCGGATCGGCGCGATCGGCTGTTCGCCGAGCTGGATGAATTGGGCACACTCGGCGCTAACGGGCGTCGCATCCCTGTTCGCCGCGTTGCCCGCATCACCGGCATGTTGGCCTCCATGTCCTTGGCACTTGGCACCGTCGCGCGCGCCTTCTCCCACCACCTTCTCGCTCAGATCGCCGAATGCCACTCATGGGGGGCGGCCATTCTCCTAACCCCTGAGTCTGTTGAAGAGCTGCGTTTTTGGCTCACACAGTTCGACATTTTCAACGGCGCCCGCTTCCATAACCCGCATTTGTACGACGTTGTCATGTACGTGGATGCTAGCGACCATGCCTGGGGGGCTTGTTATTCCGCGCCGGATGGTCGTGTCGGCTCGCTCTCCTCCCCGCTGCCTCCAGCCTTCTTGGGCTCGTCCAGTACCCTTCGCGAGTTGGCCGGAATCTTTTGGTCCCTTTCGGCCTTTTCTGTCGAAATCCGGCGTTCGCACATCTTGCTCCGCAGCGACAGTCAGGCGGCCTACTACATCCTCCAGAAGGGAGGCTCTCGCCGTCCCGAGCTTACCTTCGTATGCCGCGCGATTATTCAATTGTGCGTGCGCCATATGATCCGTCTCACGGTCCAATGGATTCCCCGTGCGCTGAATACTGAGGCCGATGCTCTGTCCAAGATTGAGCTCCACGACGACTACTCCTTGACACGCCCTTGGTTTCTGCTGCTGGAGAGGCATTGGGGGCCTCATACCATCGACTTGTTTGCATCCCCTGCCAATGCGCAGCTCGCTCGTTTCTGCTCCCTCGAGTTCTCACACTCGGCGGTTGCGCAAGATGCCTTTTCTATTAACTGGGGACACGAGAATTGCTTCGCCTTTCCTCCACCCGCCCTCATCCCGGCTGTCCTAACTCATGCCCGTCGCTCTCGCACTTCTCTTACTCTCGTGACCCCATATTGGCCTAGTGCTTTTTGGTGGCCTTTGCTAAGCCTGGACGGCTTCACTTGGGGCCCGGAGGTCGTTATGGCCCTTCGCCTTACCCTGGGTGCTAGTTGTTTACGTGTTGGCAGTGACCGTTATGCCTTTAGCGGTGCCGGTCTTCCGAACTCTCCAATGTATGCGCTTCGTTTTGCATTCAACTAATGTAGCATTTTATTTCACTGCGCAGGCTCATATATTGGTCGATTATTGTCGGACCTTCTCACACTCACCGTCGATCTTCGGGCAAAGTCTACCCTTCGCACTTATGAACCCTATTGGCGACAGTTTCGAGCCTTCTGTTTGGCGCACTCACTTCCCTTCCTTCCCGCCACCGACCTGACATCGGCCCTCTTTCTGCTGCACTCGGTCCGTCGCGGCGCTACCGTCTCAGCTGTGCGCACTGCGTGTTCCGCCATATCCTGCGCCCATTGGCTGGTCGGCCACCCCTCCCCGATTCGCGGCCCCTTTTCTTCGCAAGTCAAGGATTATGCCATGCGTCATTGTGGCAAGCCATCTCAAGCGAAAGAGCCCATTCCTCCCGCCAAGATTTACGATATCTGTGACCTCTACTTCTCCTCGCATGATCCGGCCACATTCCAACGGGGCCTTATTCCCCTCCTCATGTTCGCAGCCTTCCTTCGTTTCTCTGATCTCATCTCCCTCCAGTGGCACCAGATCGAGTTCGATCGGGACTGCATGTGGTTGTTCATCCCCCGTTCGAAGACCGACCAAGCGGGCACCGGTGTTTGGGTCCCAGTGGCTGCTTCTTCTGCCCGCCACTGTCCGGTGTCGCGTGTCCAACAGTTCCTCTTCCTGGCTGGCTATTCTCCGCAGACCCTTGGCCCCCTTATTCGTATATTTCAGCCAGGTGCCCGAGCTTCCCCCTCAGATCGCCCTCCCTCGTACGCCGCCATTCGGGGTTGGTGTCGAGATG